CGAAACGTGTGAGGGGTGTGCCGAATTGGGTGTGGGTGACGCATGCGGCGGCAGCACTGGGGCCTTCGGTGGAGCTCCCTATGGAGCCACGAAACGTGTGAGGGGTGTGCCGAAATGGGTGTGGGTGACGCATGCGGGCGCGGGCACTGGGGCCTTCGGTGGAGCTCCCTATGGAACCACGAAGCGTGTGAGGGGTGTGCCGAAATGGGTGTGGGTGACGCATGCGGGCGCGGGCACTGGGGCCTTCGGTGGAGCTCCCTATGGAGCCACGAAACGTGTGAGGGGTGTGCCGAAATGGGTGTGGGTGACGCATGCGGCCGCGGGCACTGGGGCCTTCGGTGGAGCTCCCTATGGAGCCACGAAACGTGTGAGGGGTGTGCCGAAATGGGTGTGGGTGACGCATGCGGGCGCGGGCACTGGGGCCTTCGGTGGAGCTCCCTATGGAGCCACGAAGCGTGTGAGGGGTGTGCCGAAATGGGTGTGGGTGACGCATGCGGGCGCGGGCACTGGGGCCTTCGGTGGAGCTCCCTATGGAGCCACGAAGCGGTGTACTGGGTGGGTGAAGAGGAGAGGAGGAGAGGAGGGGAGGAGAAAGGGAGAGGAGAGGAGGCGGAGGAGGAGAGGAGGAGGAAGGAGACGCGGGGCACCGTCTCTTCAAAACGAGGACCCAACACCACAGGATGGTTGGGCAATATAGGAGGAGGAATATATATATATATATATATATATATATATATATATATATACATATATACACATATATACACGACTGCATAGGCGCTTTGCGCCATACGCCTTGTTTCCGGACCCTCCCTGGCAAAGCAATCAATCATCGCTTGCTTCAGCACGGGGGGCCTCGAGGCCTGGACGGGCGACCGGCTCATTTTTCTGATATCCCTGGTGCCTGCTGACGCCGCGTTCGCCCGATGCGCTCGCACGCTTGCGCGCAGGAGTGGGAAAGGAATGATGATTTGTCACGCGCGAAGGTCCTTTGAGGAAGTAAGGAGCGTTCCCATGACACGCCGAGGAAGTCGAAGCAACTCCGAACAACTCGATGTTTTGCCGCTTCCTGACTGCCTAGGGGGCCCCGAGCACTCAGGAAATCTTCGATCGTCGAACTTCGAATCTAGATCCATTGCCTGTCTCTCCCGATCGAGGAACTTAAACCTCGAGCTTCAAGCGTGAGCCAAGATCGCCGGGTCAGCTCGGTGTACTTCGTAGGAAAACGCCGTCTGGGCGTTTTGGGGGCCCGTTTGGGCCGTCCTGCTGCCCTCTTGGGCCGTCCTACTGCCCTCTTGGGCCGTCTTGGGGAGCTGGGGCCCTCCAGAGGTCTTCTGAAGCTGTCTAGGGCCCTCTTGGGGGCCTCCATTGGCCTTCTTGGGAATCAGCCATGGCTTTCGTGGGTCTCTCTTGGAAGCCTTCTGGGGGCATCTTGGGTTTTTTGTAGGCAATCTCGGGGCTCTCTGGGACAGTCTTGGGGCCCTCTTGGGCCGCCTTCAAGCCCTCTGGGGGGCCTCTTGGGCCGTCTTGGGCCGATATTTGGGGCCCATCCGGCCGTCTTGGACGCTTCGAAGACCCAATTACTCCGACGGTAGGACCCCGCATGAGAATCTGTTCAACTTGCCTGGGGATCTCCTCCTGCCCCTCCCTTCTCCCACCTACTCCTGCCTCTCCCTTCTCCTCCTGCCTGCTCCTCCTTCTGCCTCAACCCCCCGTGCCAGCTCCTCCTGTTGCCTCCTCCGCAACCTCCTCCTCTCCTCCTCCTTTTCCATCTCCCTCGCCCTCCTCCTCCTCCTCCTCCTCCTCCTCCTCCTCCTCACCACCACCACCACCACCACCACCACCAATCATCATCATCATCATCATCATCATCATCATCATCATCATCATCATCATCATCATCATCATCATCATCATCATCATAATCCTCATGCTCATCCTCATCATCATCATCACCATCACCATCACCATCACCATCATCATCATAATCATCGTCGTCGTCATCATCATCATCGTCATCGTCATCGTCATCGTCATCGTCATCATCATCATCATCATCATCATCATCATCATCATCATCATCATCATCATCATCATCATCATCCCATTCCTCCTCCTCCTCCTCCTCCTCCTCGAGCTCCCCCTCTCCCTCCTCTCCCTCTCCCTCCTCCGCCTCCTCCTCCTCGTCTCCATCCTCCTCCCCCCCCTCCTCCTCCCCCCCCTCCTCCTCCTTAGGCCTTCTGCATCCTCCTGGGGCCTCTTGGGGCCTCCTGCATCCTCCTGGGCATCCCGGGACCTTCTGGGGTCTCCTAGGGCATTCCTCCTCCTCCTCCTACTCCTCCTCCTCCTCCTTCTCCTCCTCCTCCTTCTCCTCCTCCTCCTTCTCCTCCTCCTCCTCCTCCTTATCGTCTTGTACCCCCTCTGCCTCCTCCTCCTCCTCCTCCTCCTCCTCTTCCTCCTTTTCTTTCTCGTCCTGCATCCTCCTCCTCCTCCTACTCCTCCTCTCCTTCCTCGTGCGGAACACGACCTAGAGGAAACGCACGACGTGCGTCCCAGCGGCTACGCGCCAGAGGACGACCCAGAGGAAACGCGCGCCAGAGGACGACCCGGAGAAAACACGTGAGGTGCGAGCCCCATAAGGAGGGGGCTCACGCCTGAGACTTCCTCGCAATTCAATCATAAATGAAGCTCCCGCCTCATACTTCCCCCGTAGGCCTCAGAAGCCCAAAAATGACGACGGTTGCAAGGACCCGCTCGGATTACCAACATCAAATGCGGGCCCCATAGGGAGGGGGCTCCCGCCTGAGACTTCCTCGCAATTCACTCACAGACGAGGCTCCCGCCTGAGACTTCCTCCAAATTCACACATGAGGAGCCCACAAGTGACGACAGTTGCAGAACGCCGATGACCCGCTCGGATTACCAACATGCAATGCGCGCCCCATAGGGAGGGGGCTCCCGCCTGAGACTTCCTCGCAATTCACTCACCGACGAGGCTACTGCCTGATACTTCCTCCACATTCAAGCCCGGTACAAGTTTCCGATGACCCGCTCGGATTAGTAACATGACCTGCGGGCCCCGTAGGGAGGGGGCTCTCGCCTGAGACTTTTTCGCAATTCGCTCACAGACCAGGCTCCCGCCTCATACTTCCTTCATGTTCAGGCCCTTGGAGCCCAAAAGTGGCGACAGTTGCAGGAGGCCGATGGCCCGCTCGGATTACCAACATGAGCTGCGGGCCCCATAGGGAGGAGGCTCTCGCCTGAGACTTCGTCGCAATTCACTCACAGACGAAGCTCCCACCGGATACTTCTCCCATACTCGACAGTTACAGGTTTCCGATGACCCGCTCGGATTAGTAACATGATCTGCGGGCCCCATGGGGAGGGGGCTCCCGCCTGAGACTTCTTTCGCAATTCACTCACAGACGAGGCTCCCGCTTCGGTGGGTAGGTGGAAGAGTGAGTAAGTGGGCGTGTGAGTGAGTGATGACGATGAGTGTGTGAGTGGGTGAGTGAGTGGGTGAGTGAGTGGGTGAGTGAGCGAGTGTGAGTGACAATGTATGTGAGTGATTGAGTGTGTTAGTGCGTGTGTGTGTGCGATTAGAGAAGAGGAGAGGGTGCGTTCTCTTGTTCCTGCGCGGGGTGTCCAGGGAAAAAAAGGACCCCACTTTGAATGTGGTGAAAAACGGATATGCTAAAAATATTCATTTTCCAGTGGGGATGGGACGATGTTTGCTTCTTCGGGGCTCTCTGAATGGCCTCTTGGGGCGTCTTGGGGGCCTCTTGGGCCGTCTTCAGACCATCGAGGTTCCTCTTGGAGCGCTCTTGTGCTGTCTTGGGTCTCTCTTGCGCCTCTCCGATGACCTCTCTGATCGCCTTGAGTCTGCTCGCAAGGCCCGCCAGAGCGCCCTGGTAGACCCGGAAGGGCCAGCGGACCTTTTCCAAGGGCGTCCAGGGGGTCGCCGAGACGTCCGCAAAGGCGTCCGGGGTGTCCCTGGGGGGGTCCGGTTTAGGGGGGCGGGTGGGGGGGGGTCCGGGTAATAGAAATATATGTATCGCACTCTCTCTCTCTCTCTTTATATATATGGCTCTCTCTCCCTCTCTTTCTATGTCCCTCGCTCTCTTTGCATGACGAGCTGCGCGTGCCACTTCGGCATGCCCATCTGACTCGCATCGGCAGCGCTGAAATCAAGAACGGTACGCGTAGACACTGTCCCTCTCTTCGGACGCTGCGGCGGGAAGGCAACAACGGGTAAGATTGCCGCGGGCTGCGCTGACAGTGCCTTGGGTCAGCCACCTTGTGTGAGAGCGAGCGCTAGCCAAATACTTGGCCCGAACGTCCAGGCCCAAAGCAGAACATCACAGAACTCAGACATCATGGAGCGCCAGCCGTGGAGAACAACCCATAGGGCTCCATGCCACGATCGAGAACTCGCAGCAGCAGAAGCATCTGTAAGCCATAGATCAACACCCACGGGGCGCCAGGGCAAGAACGAGAAATCGCAGCAACTGGTGCACCACATCATGCCAGCCAAAGTAGCCAAATGCACTCCTCACGCTTGACCGAACTGCCCGTAGGCTTCGGAGTGTCCGGGTTTCTGATGCGTGAGTTGCGCCCGTGATTGACACGACTCGACGTGCTATGCGGCCCAGGTCCGCCCGCCCATGCCCTCTCATCCACAACTGCGGGGGCTTCATCGCTTCGTCTTGCCATCTAGGGATACTTACGGCAAGTGAGACACTCACTTTTTGATAGACGGATGCATGTGTATATGCGGATGTTTAAATATGGCGACTTCGGGGATCTGCCTCCGACGGCGTGTTTTTTCACAACGCGATTTCCTGGAGGCCAACCTTTTCCCAAGGACCGGCTTTTTACCCCAAGTCGTGTTTCGACGGTCCCCGGGCCACATGCGGGCCCAAAGGCGCCGAACATGACCCCCAAGCCTCCCGTCCTGACTTCTTCCGCAATGTGAGGAGGTCTGGCAGCCTGCGTCGAGC